ACTAATATCGATATATTTTTGTCAAATTTTTATGATATCGTCAAACATATATTTTATTCAAAAATAAAAACATCATCGCTTTCTCAAAATCACATAAAGCCATATTATAAAATCGACTGAGATAAAGAATAAAATGAAATATTAAAAACACGATGTATCTCGCTGCATTGCGCGAGTACGTTTCTAGTATATATATATAGATATATGTGTGTGTAGGATTGAGTTTCATTGAGAAACATAAAAAGAGATCTTCACCGTCGAATGCATGTTAAGATAAAATTCATCCGATTAATTTGAGTATCAAACACTATTCATAAGGTTTTAGATAGTTTCTTACACTTCTTTAACCTACTGTATTTCTAAACCATAAAAGTCATGTAGGCCCCAAAATTGATATATGTAACCACACCATGGTTAACCGCTAACCACACCACGGTTAACCGCTAACCACACAATGTCCACTCTTCCAATATTCGTCTATATATACCATACCACCCACTACAATCACACCACCTTCCGCCACCACCACCACAACCACCGTGCCACCACAACTCCGGCCAACAAATGTCGAAACTGATCAAGCCAACACCAGTACTCTTCACTCCACCCAAAACCGATGGCCCAAGCCTTAAATCCACCTTGTTCCACCGTGCATGGGTGGCTATCGGTTGCACCACCGTACTGTTTTCCCTAGCCAAAGCCGTCTACGGTTCCACCGATTCACACACACGCCTCAAAACCATCGTCGCCGGATTCTTGGGCTATCTCGTTGCAGACCTTATCTCCGGTATATACCATTGGCTTATCGACAATTATGGCGATGCTTCAACTCCATTTGTTGGTTCACATATCGAAGCTTTTCAGGGCCACCATAGTCTGCCATGGGCGATCACTAAACGACAATTTGCCAGCAACTTACACGTCGGAGCTCGTATTATCACGTATTTGACGGTGCCGGCGAATTTGATCTGGCATGATCAACCGGTGGTGATGGGGTTCGTTGGAATGGCAAGTGGTGGGATGTTGTTTGGTTCGCAGATTCATGCATGGGCTCATGTGAGTAAAAGCAAGTTGCCGGCGATAGTGGTGGCGCTGCAAGATGCCGGAGTGTTTGTAACGCAGTCACAACATGCAGCCCATCATCTGCCGCCGTATAACGGTGGTTATTGCGTTGTGAGTGGGGTTTGGAATAGGGTTTTGGATGAGTATAA